ACAGGAGGGAAGGCTTCCCTCCTTCCCTTCTTCTCTTCCTCCTCCTCTTCGTTCAGCAAATATTTGAGCACCTCCTTTGTGCATCCACTGTTCTAGGTAGGAGGCATATGGAAGCAGATAAGAAAAGGCAAGATCTCAGCTCCGAGGGTGCTTACCCTGCGGCCTTCGCCGGGACCCCGTAGAAGATACTGGAGACAGAACCAGGAGTCTCTTTGCTCTTTTTGTTACTACCCCCAAAGCCCCTTTTTCCCCTTGCCTCCGGCGTGGATTGACCCCTAGTTTTATATTATCCAAATAGGTGTCAGTTTAAAAAGCAAAAGGACCACCAGTCAGTGTACTGTTGTGACTAATTTTGTTTTCTTGATGATTTTCTCTGGCCACTTGTGACCCTACTTCTCAGTTATCCCACTTAATCAAGAATTGACTGTGTTCTCTTTACAGTTAAAGATGTTAAGGTTCAGAAAGGCCACAAGGCATGTTAATGTTGCATAGGTTAATACACAAAGAAATACGTACTCAGGTCTCTGTATCATCACTCCATCATGTTCAGGATCAGTGCCAGTGAAGTTTTTGGCTTTTTTAATTTATTGAAGTCGAGTTGATTTACAGCGTTGTGTACATTTCTGCTGGACGGTAAAGTGATTCAGTTATGCACGTATATATTCTTTTTCATATTCTTTTCCATTACGGTTTATTATAGGATACTGAATAGAGTTCCCTGTGCTATAGAGCAGGACCTTGTTGTTTATCCATTCTGTATATCATAGTTTGCATCTGCTCATCCAAAACTCCCACTTCATCAATGCCAGTAAAGTTTTTAAAAATAAAAAGAAAAACAGGCAAGTCTAGGGTTGTGACAGGTACCTGTAGATAAATTTGGCAAACACTGCATTTTTGCTGGAGGGAGCTTGACAAGGTGGGCCCAGTGTAAATTATTGAGTTAAAATGACATCTAGTGTTTCGAAACATTTCCTCTGCACGGGATGAGCAGGAGTGTGAGAGGAATGCACGTACGATCACTTAGAAACCTCAGAGATCACGAGTTGCTTGTTTGAAGCTAGGGGGAGTTCCTGTCTGCTGGAGCAGCCCTCTTGGTGGGGTCAGCCTTCCCTGAGTACATGTGGACTGCCATCTCCTCCTGTGTCTTCCCTCCCTTTCTAATCCCTCCACCCGCCTGGCTCTGCAGCACGGCATTCAGTTCCCAAACCCTTGCCAACCCTGCTTCGGTTTCAGCAGAATGAGGGGAGGGGACGAATTCGAGATGCCACGTGACAGGGACATTCCCACGCTGCAGTGTGGAATGTTGGTTTACTACGTACTTTGATAAAGTAGCTGTTTTCTCTGATTTTGAGTCATCGTCATGTTTCCACAGGTGCATTAGAATCTTTGACCACGGTTCAGCCACAAGCAGGGGTCAGTCCACCATCCCCGGAAAGTCAGCAGTCACATATTCCCTGAAATGCCATTCAACACAACTCGCAAAGTGACTGCTGGCTCCGTGCAGATCGGTTTTGTTTATCAGTGACATGGGATTATCTGTGCCCATGACCACCATGAGATTTAGGCTACACCCCACCTCTCTCACAGAGACGAGGCGATCAAAAGTACACTGCTACCAAATACCAGTTTTCACATGAATCTCACATCACATGTGACGGGTTAGTGTTCTTCACTTGGAGTCCTGCACTTGTCTGTCCTTCGAAGATTCTGTTGGCTGTGATTCTATGTAGGAGCCTGTGCCAGAAAAGAAAAGAAAAAAAAAAAAAAAGAACCCTTATTTTCAAGTGCACATCTGGTCGTTTGGGGGCAGCACTAACTCCTGAGTCACCCACCGAATAGGAGAGTTTTGCATTTTGAGCCCTGAGAGCCCTGCTAGAGACCTCAGGTACGTCCCCTTGGTGAATTCTCACAGGACCGCACGGTGTTCATCCCCATCCTGCAGAGACACTAAATTGTCCGAAATTACACTTAGGTAAGGGTCCGGCAGGATTCAAACCCAGTTCTGATTCTCAAAAAGCGAGTCCTTTGCCTCTGTGCCACTGTTCCCCATACTCTGGCTCTGAACCGTGTAAGGCCTCACACTGATGGGTTTAAAATCCCTTTTTGTTAATTACCTATCAGCAAACACTGCAAAGGCTAAAGTGAGTTTATAATTGAGGAAGGTCACATTTCTTTTTTTTTTTAACTTTTTATTTTATGTGGGAGTAGAGCCGATTACCAATGTTGTGAGAGTTTCAGGTGCACAGCAAAGCGACCGGCCATACATATACATGTATCCACTCTCCCCCAAACTCCCCTCCCATCCAGGCTGCCACATAACATTGAGCAGAGTTCCCTGTGCTCTACAGTAGGTCCTTGTTGGGTATCCATTTTAAGTATAGCCGTGTGTACATTGCCAATCCCAAACTCCCTAACTATCCCTTCCCCCCATCCTTCTCCCCTGGTAACCAGAAGCTCACTCTCTAAGTCTGTGAGTCTGTTTGTGTTTTATAAATAAGTTCATTCTTTTCAGATTCCGCATATAAGCGATGTCATATGATATTTCTCTTTCCCTGTCTGACTTACTTCACTCAGTATTACAATCTCTAGGTCCATCCATGTTGCTGCAAATGGCATTATTTCGTTCTTTTTTATGGCTGAGTAGTATTCCATTGTATATATGTACCACATCTTCTTTATCCACTCCTCTGTCGATGGACACTTAGGTTGCTTCCATGTCTTGGCTATTGTGAACAGTTCTGCAATGAACATTGGGGTGCATGTATCCTTTTGGATCATGTTTTTCTCTGGATATATGCCCTGGAGTGGGATTGCAGGGTCAAGGTCACACTTCTTTAAAAAAAAAAAAAATGCTAACCTAAAAAAGTTGATAGGAAAATCACCACTTAATTCTGTTTTGGAAGGCAACACGACACAGAAAGGTTGGCTGTTTGCCGCATAATCTAAAAACGTGGCTGGGGATGGGGGTGCGGGGAGCACATTATTCAGGCACCTACATTTAGGAGAATTTGTAAATCATGAGAATAACTTTTTTTTTTTTTTTTTTTTTGCGGTACGCGGGCCTCTCACCGCTGAGGCCTCTCCTGTTGCGGAGCACAGGCTCCGGACGCACAGGCTCAGTGGCCATGGCTCACGGGTCCAGCCACTCCGCGGCATGTGGGATCTTCCCGGACCGGGGCACGAACCCGCGTCCCCTGCAACGGCAGGCGGACTCTCAACCACTGAGCCACCAGGGAAGCCCCATGAGAATAATTTAAAATGTTCAGCCCTCGATAACATGAGTCGTACAGGACTCCTCCACCATCTCCAGCTTCGTTCTGTCTCTGTCACTCTTGGCTCCAAAAATAACCAATTGCCTGAAGTTATCCAGATCCACCAACAGTGTCCAACGCCCCACCTGCCATACCTGCCCAGGCTTGGCTAATTCTTACTCATACTTTTGTCGTCTTGGCTCAACAGTTACTTTAATTTTTTAATGACTCAAAGGCAGGCCTACTAGTCAGCACGACACTTTCTTTTTTAAGGCTACCACTAATTAACATATTTAAAAGACCTGTACCCAGGATGAAGTGAAACTCTCCAGTGAGTACTTCCTTTGGTATTTGATAAATGGAACCTATCCCAGAACTGTTTATTATCTGTACGTCTCAGTTCCAGTTACAGTGTATTCCTGGAGCCTTTAAATCACGGAGCGTGATGTGCCAGTGTGTAAGGGACAGGTGAGCTGCGCTGGCCTCCTCCAAGGGCAGCAGCTGAGAATGTGGCTCTAAGAACTGCCTCGACATCTATCCTCTCTAGTAAGGATTCAGTGTGACCCTTACAGTTAGGCCAGTAGCCCGCTCATCTTTTTTTTTTTCCCCCTCCTCATGGGGAGAAAAGATTTTAGCCATTTTGTGTCATAACCCTCATAAAGGATTTAGTCATGAGTTTATCATCTCACAGAAAAGTGGGGTTTTTTTTTTTTTTTGCGAACTTCAGTAAATTCATAAGAAGATTTTGTGTCTTGGCCTCATTAATTTTAAGTTTCTCTCAGTACGAAAACTTGGCCTTTTTCATAACTTCATTGAAGTATAATTGATATTTAATACACTGCACATATTTAAAGTGTACAGTTTGCCAGGTTGCGACATACATCCCTGATACCATCACCACAACCAACATAGTGAACATAACCGTCATTCCCAAAAGTTTGCTCATGTCCCTTTGTGAGTGATGCCCCCCGATCCCACCCAGTCCCCAATAACTACTGAGCTGTTTCCCGTCACTCCAGGTTAGCTTGTATTTCCTAGAATCATATATAAATGGAGTCACGCGATATGTCCTCTTTGCTTCTGCCTGATTTCTTTCACTCCACGTGATTATTCTGAGGTTCACCCGTGTTACCGTGTGTATCAGTAGTATGTTCCTTTTCATTGCTGGTTATTAGTCTGTTGCATGAACCCGTTACAGCTTGACTATCCATTCACACATTGAGGGACATTTGGATTGTATCTAGTTTTTTACTGTTACAAATAAGGCTGCTGTGAATATGCATGTATAAATCTTTGTATAGACATCTGTTCTCACATCTCCTGGGTAAATACTTAGGTGTGAAATGGCTGTGTCACATACTTAACTTTTCAAGAAACCGCCAAGCTTTTAAAAAGTGATTGTACATTTTTACCTTCTTGCCGGTATGAGTTAGACTTGTCTCACATACTCACCAGCACTTGATACAATCAGACGGTCACTTTTTCTTTGGTTTCTGGCTGCGTTGGGTCTTCGTTGCTGCGTGCGGGCTTTCTCTAGTTGCGGTGAGCGGGGTCTACTCTTGGTTGCGGTGTGCGGGCTTCTCATTGCGGTGGCTTCTCTTGCTGTGGAGCACGGGCTCTAGGCGCGCAAGCTTCAGTAGTTGTGGCACATGGGCTCAGTAGTTGTGGCTTGCGGGCTCTAGAGCGCGGGCTCAGTAGTTGTGGTGCACGGGGTTAGTTGCTCCGTGGCATGTGGGATCTTCCCAGACCAGGGATGGAACCCGTGTCCCCTGCATTGGCAGGCAGATTCCCAACCACTGCGACACCAGGGAAGTCCTTTTTTTTTTTTTAATTGTAGTCATTCTAGTGTGTAGAAAGCAGTATTTCCTTGTGGTATGATTTGCATTTCCCTAGTGACCAGTGATGGTGTGCATCTTTTAATGTGCTTATTTGTCATCCATGTACCTTTATTGGTGAAATGTCGATTCACATAGTTTGCCCATGTTTTAACTGGGTTGTTTTATTATTGTTGAGTTTTGGAAGTTCTCTCTATAGCCTGAATACAACTTCTTTACACAGGCTTAGCAAAGTTGTTCTTCTAGTCTTCTAGTGGCTTGTCTTTTCATTCTCTTAACATTGCCTTTTGAAGAGCAGTTTTAAAGTCTGATGGAATCTAATTTATCAATTTGTTATTTTATGGGTCGTGCTTTTAGTATTGCAACCAAGGAATATTTGACTGACTGAATGTCACAAGATGTTTATCTTTGTTTCCTCTTCGCATTTTTATAGTTTTGGGCTTTAAGTTTGTGTCCATGATCCATTTGTATATGGACTGAGGTATGCATCCAAGTTCTTTTTCTTCCCCCAAAAAAACCTTTTTTTTTTTTGTAAAAAGATTTTTTCTAATTATAAAAGTAAGACATTTGTAAAATACGGAAGAGTATAAAGCCTACATCTTGCTAATTTTTTAATAACTTACCGAGGTACATTTAAAGGTATTGTGGCGGAGTGGGGCGGAGTAGTTCTAAGTGTGACTTTACAAAATTGGAATCAGAGTATATTCCATGTCCTGCTTTTAAAAATTTGAGCATTATATCAGTGTTTAATCATGTGACTTAATGTTTTTTAAATGCATGTTTTTAATGGCTGTGTAGTTATCCTATCATATAGACATATGCTACTTTACCCCTTTTATTAGACATTATCAACTTTTATTCTTAAAATATGCCTGTACTTAAATCTTCGTTTCTCGGCTTTTTTCCTTATACTTTTAGAAATGATTTATCAGGTCACCATACATGTACGCTTAGCTTTTACTACCTATTTCCACAGTGTATTCCAGAAAAGTTTCAATGGTTTACACTCCCAACAGCAATAACTAAGACACTTAATTTTTTCAATTAATTTTAAAATCATTTTTTGAAGTAGAGTTGATTTACAATGTTATATTGGTTTCAGGTATGTAACAGTGATTCGATATTTTTATAGATTTTAATCTATTTCAAGTTATTATGAAATATTGGTTCTATGCCCTGTGCTGCGCATCACGTCCTTGTATCTTAAGAAATTTAATTTTTTATGGCAAGTGTGTTTCTGTGAAAGCCTCAGGGATGCCCCTGGACACCCCTCTCTTGTCCTCCGCAGGGTCCCTCTAACCTCGGCTGCTGTCCCCAGGCCAAGCGCCTTGCTCTCCCTGCCTCCTTACCAGATGCACCCCTCTCACTGGGCTCTGTGGACACGGGCCAAGTTAAGCAAACTCCTTGCATCGCTTACCCCTTTCACCAGAAAAAACTTGCCTGGTGAGTGCGCATCTGTCTTAGGTCTGCAATCATGGACGAGGAAAGCGTGTCCGTTTTCTTGGCCATGGTTTGTCTTGTCTCCGTTTCTCCCCTGCCTCTTTATCCTCAGCCCCGCAGCGTTCTCTGCTCTCTCCCGCCAGGCACCCCGACGCCGCCTCTAACCAGCGCCCTACCGTTTTTCTCCTCCAGCGCCCAGCTGTCTCCTCCTCGCTGCAAGTCCCTTGCTGGCCCTCCGCTGGCACCCACGTGGAGGTGCGTCCCGTCCTCCCGGCCCCGGCCTCTCACCGCCCGCCCCGCCCCACACTCTTCCTTGCTGGAGGCTGGTGTCCTCACGCCTGAGTGGTGACCTCTGTGCAGCAGTGGCAGGGGCGCTCCGGAACCCTTAGCAGCTCTGTCTTTTTGTGGGTTGTGCCACCTTTTCCTTCCTTCTCGATGCTCAGCCTGCCACTCGGCCTCTAAATGGCCTGGTTTGGTCCTACCGTGGTGGTCAGGAGGCTCCACCGGTAACGGGGTTGGCCCTGAGTGACAGGAGGCGACTCAGCCAGCTCTGCCCCCCACCCCCCGCATGTCCTCTGTCAGCACTGTCGGCTCACAGGCGGCCTCTCTCTGGGACAGGCTGCTTCTTGCTGGTTTTCAGCTCTGTGCTGTGTGCTCGTCCAGCACTGTTTCCTGCATCCCATTGAAGTCCCCGCCCCTGCACCTCCCCCGTACTTGTTCTCAGTGCCGTGGACCCCTTCGCTGACTCACACTTGCTTCTCATCGCTAGTACATGAGCGCGACGGTCCCTGCACTTTTCGCATCTGAACCCTTAGGACGGCTGTAACTGTGCAGCACGGGTCACCTTGGACTCTGTAATCCGCAGGGGTGACCTGTGAGTCCTGGCTAACTGGCATGCTCCCCACACCCCGTTTCCCATCTATGTTGTACATCCTTCAGGGCAAAAGTCCACGGTATTCTTCTCCTTTTCTGATCTTCTGTCACTTGTTTATACCATACAATGTTGCTTTTGCTGTCGAGTGGTCACCCTAATACCGCCTTAGGGCAGCTTTGACTTTAACCGTCACGCTGCTTGCCCTGACATAGGCGTCTTTCCTGTAGCTGCAGCTCCTGTGCACCTCGAGAACAGGGGCCCGTGTGTTTGCATCCCCAGTGATTCAGATCTGTGCCACATGGGATAGAGGCTGGTAACAGTTATCACGTCGGTGTCAGCTGTCTATCTTACTGGAGGGGTGGTCACATGTGGCTGCACGCTGACCCCGGGTCCAGGGAAGTGAAGCAGGTGGTTTCTGCACAGAGCTCCTGGGGCTCCTTTCTTTCCTGGTCAGCACCTGCAGGTGTAGGTCTTCATAACCTGCACAACATAAGGAAGCTCAGGACGAGCACACATTGGGTGCTTCAGAATTCATTTGGGGTTTTCTCTGTGTGGAAGACGGACTTGCCTGCCACCTGCGAATTCACTTTAAAACCAGTGGCCTCTTCGTGAAGAGCAGCTCAGCAGCTGGGCGATCGCCCCTCTCCTTGTTCTGCCTCTTCTTCGGGGTGCACCCCTCCCTGTGAACACACAGCCTGAGGGAAACACTCGTCCAGCAGGATTTCTCCCTCACCTGTTATTCAGAACAAAATATACAACCCAAGAGGTTTTTCTCAAAACTGTGTTACAGAGGAAATCATGGATGTGTCTAGAGTATCAATGAAGAAAATAAGCAGCAATTTTGAGAAACAGCAGTAAACTTGGAATAATATTTTACCGAATAAAAATACAAACAACCCAGATAATTTCATTGTGATTCGAGGGGAAGTAACTAAATCTAGGGATATTGATCTGTTTACTTTTCAGTTTTCAACGTACTGTAAATATTTCATGTGATTCACATTTGTTCCTAACAGAATTTGAGATAGATTTTCCAATAAAGTATAAAGATGTGAATAAGTGATAATGAATTAAAAGAACCAATTTGGTTCATATGCCATTAGCCAAGCTGGGTCTGACTTTTGGAATTTCAAACTAACTCTTCTTTTCTTTTTAGGTTGCCTCTTGGTGCTGCCTTGACCGTATTTGGCACCCAGAATGCTTCATTCTGTGATGGTCTATTAATAAGGTTGCCTTGCTAGAGTTTGGAGCAGGGCCCCAGGTAGGTGGCTTTTATCATTATATGGCATGGCTTTCAAAGTGATCACTTATTCCAGCTTCTCAATAATCTAAGATATGACGTGAAAAGCTTTGAAAAGCCTGCCACATAATAAGCATGCCACTTACTATAATTTTAAGGTCCATCAAAATGTATCATGTTTAACAGGACGGCGTTAATACTTACAGAGTCTAATGGAAGGATTGGAATCGTGGCAACGAGCACTTTTTCCTTACCTTGTGCACAAAACGCAGAGCTGCTCTAAAAGCTGTTGGTCCATGTTCCCCAAATCACCCGCAGATAAACTCGTAAGCTCTTCCCTCTCCGAGTCTTGCCCAGCGTGATAGATTATCCCGTGGTGCCACTGTATCTCTTTCTGTCCACTGGGAAGGGTCTGGTTAACTCTGGGCAGGTGGGAGCTCGTTCCGCTGGCTGGGATGCGGCAGATGCTAGAACGAGGACCTCAGTGGGACAGCAGCAGTTTGCTGGCCTTGTCGGAAAGAGGACAACTCAGGCTTCTAGATTTCCCAGCCTGTAAGGTGCAGCTCAGTGGCACAGATCGAGGTGTAGCGATACTTGGAAACCCAGGCACACGTGGATATGGTACCAGGTAAGTTTGTCAGCGGGACCTCAAATGCAGGATGGAGGTTTAGGAACCTGGGCCCGGGCCAGAGGATGGGCTTGAGGCCCTGAACTCCACCGACGGCAGGCGGGCAGCACCCCGGAAAAGGAGGATGCAGCCGAGGCCGAGAGCCAGGCAGGGTCTCACAGTGCAGAGGGACAGAGTTCTGACCGGATAAAAGGCCCGTAAACTGAGCTGGTTGAAATTCTCTAATCTCAGCACACTGTGAAGAGTAAGCATGAAAATCAAGTCAGAATAAACTGTTAGTTGTTCGTATGTTGTAAGTATTCTTTAATTATATATGAAGATGTTAATGGTTTTTCAGTGTTACGGGTTATGGAGTTGTTTCTTTTTCTATTTCCTTGTAGTTTTTACACTCTCTTGTAATGAAGCTGTTTTTGAGCAGTTAGAGAAAGAAAAAATGTTTTCATTACTTTTACTTAGCCAACTCTGTTTATGCAGATTCTCTCCTTTTTCATTTCTCTTGTATCTGTAACCAGTCAAACATTTTCTCTGCCATCTTCAGTTTTCATCCCCCCATTTAATATCACAGGAAGAACATCCTCTTTAAAGATTTTGAACTTTACTTTGTTCCTTTTTCTTTCCCATAAAACCATTCATTTCCCGACAATAAGTCATAACGAGTACAGGTTCCATGTGCTCGCCGAGCTATGGAGCAGAACATTTGACAGCAGAAACGTTCTGAAAATCCAGGCCAACTGAGTGCCGCCCGGGGGGTGCCTCCCCGCCCGTCGGGTGCCCCGCGGGCCTGTGAGTGGACGTGCCCACGCCTCCTTAGCTTTAAGCACCCACGGCCTCCCAGGGGCTGCAGTGCCCCCCTAGGTTTCCACCCCTGTGCCAGAACTAACAGCTTCATCCTATGGGGTTTGTCTTCTCAGCTTGCTTTTAAACTCATTTGAGGTTTCCAGAACCCTAAACCATGTTGACGTGCTTGCTTTGATTCCTGAAATTCCTTAAAGGGATTATAGTGTGTTCCACAAATACTCATCCAGTGTCACCACAGGCCAGGGCACCATGCCAGGGATGTGGGGTGACTGACGGTCTCCCTGCAGATGAATTTACAGTCCCGGGGGAGAGACAGGTAATTGAAACATGAGTTTTACAATCCATGTTAGAGGTAAAAAGCTCAGAGAGGTAGAGTTCTGAAAAACTTCATTCTGGAAAAAGTTTATCCTCACTCAGGTAAAATCGGTCAAGGGATCTAATTCTCGGTTCTCTTCTGATTGTGACACAGCTGGAGGGAGGGCACAGGTCCCCTGACCTGACAGTCTTGCCCAGAGCGGATCCCATTCACCTTCAACTCTGTGGGAATCAGTAGAAGGGGTCTTGCCCTGGACAGTCACACGGGTGCAGCTCGGGGAGGACAGGGTGATGGCACACGTAGAGCCTCCCCCGGGTGTGGGTTCCTCTGTCCTTACGTCGTCTGGTGCTCCCGAAGATTTTACACACACATACACACACACACACCTCACAACAGTTATGCCTTGTCTCGTGTACCACCGCACGGGCCTACGTTTAAAGTGCGCTTGACTTTGAGATGGCTTGACACTAGTTCTTTGCATGAGCTTTTGTAACTAGGTGAAACTTTCTTTCCTCGCCCCTCTTGTTTTATGGTGCGCTATCTCTGCCTCCTGTTAAATGTATAGGTAGAGACAGACTGAGTGTGTGTGCTTGGGAAGGTCAAACTTGAAGCCTGGGAGATGCTATATCTGCGATTTTAATAGCATTAGGCAGTTAGCCATTTATGAACAGAGGCACGCCCTCCAAATGTTTGGGGTCCTTCAGTGTGAACATTTTTATAGTCGGTGTCAAGCGTTTTTCTTAAAGCCCCGGTAATTTAAGGGGTCAGTGGTAAGAAAAACATAAAAACAACTCATCATAATTTGGGACACATGCAGTTTTCAGATTAGCTGAACTGCGAGCTGCCTACCTTATAATGCTAGCCTGAGCACCAGTATTTTGGAAGTGCTTTATACAAAAAGAAAAAAAAGGAAAACCTCTAAAAATAGTTAACGTGTGATTAAGCAATCTTACTCTGTATTCAGATGTAACTGCGATGCTTTGTGCTCTCTCTGTCTCTCTCTCTCTGTCCCTCTCTGGCATCATTTCTTTTGCACCATTCTGCTCTCATTTCCTGTTTGCAAGTACTAATTGCCCATGTGAAGAGAATGAAAATACCCTGGTATACCGCCCATCTGTAGTTTTCAGGTTTTTTTATTTTGAAATGAATATACAACCATAGGAGGAAAAATCTCCCACATAGGAGTTAAAAGGAAATGCCTAACTTCTAAGTTATGGATCCTTAAAAGAGCTTTTAAAAGAGAAGAAAAATTTATAACCTAACGTGACATTTTTGCTCCGTAAAAGAATTAACCAAGGAAAACATTTCCGAATTGAAAGATAAAATGTGTTTGAATAATCCATCTTCATCAGATGGTCTCTTCATTTTTCTGGGGATGCTAGAAAATGAAATAAACAACCACACCCAGGCTCCAGGTGGCCCCCAAAGGAACCTCCTTGTCGTGCACATAAGAGAACTAATGTTGGAATTTGTTGGTTCCACTTTGGAATTCATTGACTTTTTCCTCTTGGTTCCTAAAAGCAAATAGGTCTGCTACTCCTTTCACATCTCTGTTGGCTTTCAGTATTTGTATATTAACTATAAGCCTTTCTAAATATTGTAAGGCTAAATTGCATGGTAAGTTTCAAAAGTGTTGTCCTAGAACTGCCCTTTAATGAATTGCTCAAAAGTTGAAAATATCACATACAGTAATTCTAAAAAGGCATCCTTATAGTTGATTGGTATCAGTTAACGACATCTACCATAGGAAGATAAGCTCTGTAATTTTGGGTATTCCGGGTATGAGTCATTTGGGTACCTGCTTACAACTTGGATGGGTCGGGTCAGGTCAGGTGCAGCCCCGCTCTTTGCCACGTCTCCTGCTTCTGGGCGGGCGCCCTTCTCCTTGCTGTCCTCTTGCGGCATCAGTAGCCTCTCTAACTACCTAACCATCTAGCCATCCTTCCTGCTCTATGCAGTCATGGACGCAGGCTCCAGGCATGTTTGCACTTTAGAAATTTTTATTAGGAATGAATGTGGACCAAATGGATATTATACACTTGTACTAGTTGATTCCTCAGCAGTGAGGTCAATCAGAGGATGCTTGTTTTCTGAAACAAAACGAGTATTTTAGACAGCTTTTCCTGCAGTTCCTATTGTTTTAATCTAAGGCCTTAGAAATAGCTGTTAGGTTTAGGGAGTCCCTTTCTAGTGACTTAATTTAGTGTGTTGGACCAAATTGTATCCACACTGTATTATTTTTTATTGAACTTAGGTATATGTGTTCTGTCCTGTGTCTACTGTGGGGATTGAGCCTAGAGTTCACTTCCTCGCTGGAAAGCACTTGTCCTGCTTTAATTATTTTCATTCACTCAACAAAAATTCTACTTCCTTTTACGGGAAGCAACAGCGAATGAAACTAACACAGGTCCTGCCCCAACGCTGCCTACCGTCTACTTTTAATGCTGTCTTAGAGTTGTATACTTGCAAGATATGTTTTTTCCTTTAATTAATAAGTGATTTTACAGACCTACAAAAATTGAATGCTGTCAAAATGTCCACATTATCGTACAGGATCATAGAAGCGTTCTAAGTGTGTTGTTGCCCTTCAGAATTGACTGCAGTTATGTTATGGTATTAATAATTTCTTTCGCATTATCCAAAGCTTTATTGTATTTTATACATGTAAAGTGAAGTATTAACTACTGGTAAATTTCCTTTTGCAACCCACCTATTTACTCTATATGAAAAGCACGTTTTAATCAAATGTTGACATTTTCTGAATTGTTTACTAATGGTGTTTTATGATTAGCATGAAGGAGAATAAAGCTTTGAGTATGATAGCACTTGCCCTTAATTTGCAAAGTATATGCTTGAATTTTAACTTAAATATGAAAGAATTATTGATGCAGGTAAGTGTTGTAAAACTTCACAGCTCTTAGAGAAGTGACTTTTAGAACTGTGAAATTTTAAGTACAGAAACAGTTTTAATTCAGGCCTGTTCTGTTGCCAGCATCCTCATAGGAATTCATTTTAGTAGACCCTCTGATGTATGATTCATTTTCCTTGTTATTTTTTTGTGTGTGAGTCACCGTTTTAGAATGTAAAACACAGAGATAATAAACCTGTGTGCGCGTACACACACTGTATCCCCTTTAATTATTGTTTTTGTGTATGCAAAGTTGCCCTAGGAAAAAAACATCTGTTCTGGTACCAGCAAAAACTGGGCAGGTATTCTGAAGTGTTACTTCATCTTAGAGCAGTTTGAAATGGGTAGATGTATATTTTCTATGTTGCTTCATGATTCTTTAGATCAAGACAAAGAACTTTAATTATTTGAAAAAGCATAGTAACCAATCTTCGATATGTAAAAAAGAAAAACTGGAGTACAAATTTTGTTGCAGACTTTTCAGAATAGTAGTCACAATGCTTTTTAAAAGTTTTTCTTAAAAATCTACAAACAATAAACGCTGGAGAAGGTGTGGAGAAAAGGGAACCCTCTTGTACTGTTGGTGGGAATGTAAATTGATACAGCCACTGTGGAGAACGGTATGGAGGTTCCTTAAAAAACTAAAAATAGAATTACCATATGATGCAGCAGTCCCACTACTGGGCATGTACCCTGAGAAAACCCTAATTCAAAAAGAGTCATGTACCACAATGTTCATTGCAGCACTACTTACAGTAGCCAGGACATGGAACCAACCTAAATGTCCATCAACAGATGAATGGATAAAGAAGATGTGGCACATATATACAATGGAATATCACTCAACCATAAAAAGAAACGAAATTGAGTTATTTGTAGTGAGGTGGATGGACCTAAGGTGTGTCATACAGAGTGAAGTAAGTCAGAAAGAGAAAAACAAATACTGTATGCTAACACATGTATATGGAATCTACAAAAAAAAAAAAAATGGTTCTGAAGAACCTAGGGGCAGGACAGGAATAAAGACGCAGACATAGAGAATGGACTTGAGGACACGGGGAGGGGGAAGGGTAAGCTGGGACGAAGTGAGAGAGTGGCATGGACATATATACACTACCAAATGTAAAACAGATAGCTAGTGGGAAGCAGCCGCATAGCACGGGGAGATCAGCTCGGTGCTTTGTGACCATCTAGAGGGGTGGGATAGGGAGGGTGGGAGGGAGACTCAAGAGGGAGGGGATATGGGGATATACGTATACATATAACTGATTCACTTTGTTATACTGCAAAAACTAACACAACAGTATAAAGCAATCATACTCCAATAAAAATGTTAAAAATAAATTAAAGAAAAGTTTTTCTTAACAGTATAAAAGAGAATACACAGGTAATTTTAGTTGACATTTTAGTTAGGATTCCATGAATGGAAACTGTATTTATGTTTATTATACCAAGCCAAATAATAATGAACTCTAAACAGCTTCTGGTTTCCTTTGTTTGGGAAAATAATTAGCCACTCATAAGAACTCAGAATAATTAGGCTGAATTTAGGGAACTTAACCATGACTTTGGAATTATGTTTTGTGATAAAATGAATGAAAATGATATCTATTATTTTATTTCAAGCTATAAAATACGCAACTGGGGTAATTTGTAGACTATTGTAACATTTCAAATCGAGAGACATACAATTTTAAACTGTACTGAAACATTTTGACTCTAAAGGATTTTTATTACAAACGCCATTGAACAGTAAGCGTAAATAAAACTTTTATGGATGTATTTGAGATGCAATAAAATTTATATTGGTCAGGGGAAAAAATATGTAATTTTATTGTTCACTAGTCAACTTTGGTTTTAGATTTTTTTCTACCCAAATCACTGTCCACTAAGACAGATATACTAGTTGTTCTTTTAACTGCTATTTAGATTACTTAAAGATTACTTTACCAACTGTCTTTATTTAAAGGAAACTTTATAAATCTTAAATGTGTTTCTGTTTGGGGATCGTATTGGCAGCTCTGATAGAGAAATAGGTACTGTCACCTGTTCTCGCCTTTTAAGTGCAATGACAGGATTTATCCACTCTCAAATTGGTTTGCCAATCAGCCCTTCTCCTAGAATGCAGTAGAATAAGAGTGACGTAGGGCACTAGCCCCTTCCTGACCACATATATGCTGTCGAGATGGTCAGCTTCTCTGGGCCTCTCACCTTAAAATGGATATGGTGATAAAAGCATCCACCTCTCAGGTCCATTGAATTCCAGGGAGGTAATAGAGACGAAAACACCCTCCAGTTGTAAGGTATTTACATTATCAAAATAACAATGCACAAAATAGGCTTTCGTATTCTTAATTAGCCTACCCAAAACTTAGTATGTGCCCTGGGCAAGTAAGTATTTACAAAGTTAATTTTATTATTTTGCAATTTTGATGTGCAGAATTCAGTTCTTCCATTTATGCATGTCCTGTGCTTTACAAAAAAAATTGAGCTTTTGCTTTAACTTTTTAAACATCCTTTATTAGTCTAAATTTTTATTTTTCTTGTCTTTTAAACTATGAGAATAATGCTGCTTTCAAATATACCCTTAGTATTTTTGTAATGATGCTTGAATGCCCTCTATTAAATATTTTATTTACACATCATCAAATTCTTAAAGTATGTGAAAATTTGATTTCAGGGGAAATTAATTAGATTCGTGTTTAGAATGTTAAGTAAAATGGTTTTCATTTAACCTGTCATTGGTGAATCTTATTCTAACTATTTGATTTGTATTATCCCTCTCAAGTTGTCATAATCATGATTTCTGAATGGTCATCTTCAAACTATTCAGGGTTTACTACCCTGTACTCTCTATAACAGATAATTCTGATTTTTTTCTGCTTTTTGACCATTATTCTTTTTCACATTTACGTGTACAGTCAGAATTATTAGATTTTTTTTTCTATGCGCGTTCTTAGTCTACTGAGGATCATGCTCCTAATAGCATTTTTTAAGATATTTTAAGATTTCTCAACAATGATCTCTTAAAACCAAATGATGCTTTCTTCCTGACACCGCTTCTCCTGTAGCAAACCTATATTTAACTTCCCTTGCATGCTTTTGAAATCTAAGGAGCACAGAGTTATTGCTACATTTCAGCAGCACTTGCAGCGTTCTGAGAAATAAATTGGCAGGTATCGCAGGTAACACAGATGTAGCCCAGAGAAGCCCACGTTGCACCGTCGCGTGCCGTGTGAGCCTGGGAGGTGCTGTCCTCTGGAGCCTGCTGGCTGCTGTCAGGCTACAGGTGTGCTCTCCCCGGGAGAGAACTGCGCTTGTCTCTTCCCGAATATTATTTAGCTTAATGAAAACTTGATCCGTTTGGTTTACAAATAGTAACCCTAATATCCATTTCTCTCAGTAGGCGAGTTAGGTTTAAAAAATTAAATTGAATTTGGGAAAGAAGTGGGGAGTCATTCAGCATCACCAAATGCCATTTATCTAGGTAACACTGTTTTACTTTTTGTTTCTGCCTTAATTTGGTCATGTAAATGTGCTTTGAACTAATAAAGATTTGCAATTGGTGAAAATTAATGCATGACTCTTCAGCAGAGTACGGAATGAAAGCATGTGTCATGAAATTGCCATTCTTTGATCCTGTATTTTCCATCACTTGCGGACTGGTTCCGTTTAGAGTGTAGTCCATTCTTATTTTTTGTTTCATAGATTGGCCAAAATGGGAAGGACTGGATTCCGCTCTCTTCCACGAAGAGTCAATGGAACTGGCTAAGATCAAGGTCTGACGCTTTTTCCATCTGTCATCAGGTATGCATTGAACAGAAATCACTATAGTTTTATGCACGTATCTTTAAAGTATTTGATTGCTATGAATATTATGAATTTGGATTTTTATTCAATGTTGAGCTCGCAACTTTATGTTTATCCTGTAGTTCTTAAATGCACCTATAAGTAATTTGAGTTTTGTAATATATTGAGATAAAAGATATTGTTAGCCATGAAAAAATTTCAGCTGGTCTTAGAAAAGTGTAATATTTGAAATCTGCAATTCTTCATTGCTCAGTCTGTACATCCAAAGATAACAGAATTCATTTGTTACTCCATATTGAGTATCACCAATTTTCATATGATCAAATGTTTGTTGTTTCATGGTGCAATTTTAGTACATTCTTTTCAGTAACTTAGAAGTTGTTATTTTTCTCAACTGGAATTCTCTGCCCAATTATGGTTGGGTCTCATAACACAATAATGGCAAAATACGACCAGTCTTTGAAATATTTTCAGATATTAGCTGTATACAGGGATTTAGATACTTCGCATTCCATGTTGATTTTACAGTTGAAAAGTTTATCAGCTTGTTTCCCACAATGTTCTAAATAGGTGCACAAAAGCATCATGTTAGGAAATAAGAGAGTCAAAATTATTCTTTTTTCCTGCTCTGGCAGAATGCTTTATACCAATTTACAGTGTCATTACTGGTTACAGCAGAATAGCTGTTTAGATATTTCTGAGAGAGGCAGAGAAGCTGTCTCTTGAATGAAAATATAACAGGAAAAGAACAAGTCCTTGAGATGCAGAAAAATCTAAAACCAGAGGGAACATACTGTGTTAGCAGTAGTAATGTCAGTTGCATTCATTGTGTTAATGTCAGTTTTAAACTGCAAAGGAGACGTAGGCAATTTGAACAGCGTGTAGCAAGGCCTTGCCTGTATCTACCTACTGAAGAAGAAAGGCTGTGTGAACCAGACACCAATTAATTTACCCATATGCTGTACACTTTAATCAAATGAGTGGATAATTGCTATATTTTGCCTGTTTAATGATAGCCTCTACATTAAAATGCAATAGGATCTGTTGTAATGTACACTTAATTTTACAAAAATGTAGGTTAAATTTGGAGCTCCTGCAAAAGGATAACTGGAATCTGCAAAAGTCAGATCATCCTTCTAGCTCGCGAGGGCAAGTGTCAGTCTGATGCCAAAACACAAGCGAAACAAAGAAATTGGTTTTCATTGTTTTCTGAATATATGATAGGATGAGAAATCCAATTGATTAGTAGTTGATGACAGTCATTTAGCCACATGCCAATTTTCAATTTAAAATCAGATCTTTTTCAAAGAGGTTGCTGGTATTATTTCTGTGTCTCTTAAAAATAAATACCTTGCTAAAAACTAGCATTCATGAACCTTGAGGAACCATTTAACTCGTTTATATCAATTGGATCTTTGGGGAGTTGGTTTCTTCCTCTGAGAAATACAGTTGATAATATTTCCTATCTCTTGTCCACAAATTTTCAAAGGTTTCAGTCAATTTGAGTTTTTGTCTAGGTAGACATACTCTTTGCCATACAATATACACATTTCCTTCCTTCTCACAGCACCGATAATGAATTGAAACTCTGACACACCTTTTACAACCTGCCACACCTCTACACTGATGCATCCCTGCACAGGTATTGTGCTCTAAGCCACAAGGCCCACTGGTGTGCTCACACCCACACGGGTCACAGGTGTGTCAGAGACTCTGGTCCCCCAGCTCTGGCTCTTCCACTCACCTCGGGCGCCCAAAGAACAGCATCATTTCCTGTGATGTGAACAACGGTGGGGAAATTACTCCAGCCAGATCATTGCTTCCACCCAAGAGACAGGGAACCCTGATCCTCATCTAATGTAACACCAAAAGGTTTTACCATTTCAAGAATGCATGTTTGTTATGAAGACAAGTCATTTCTGCTCTTGACTCAGAAATCCCTCTGTGTGTGATGACACTGGTATAAAGAATCAATTTTCAATTTGGGCGATGCGTTCAACTCTTTCAGGCGTCTGGTGTCTGTGCCTTGAGCACTCCTTCCCTGGAGTAAACGGTTCACAAGGCGCCTGAAAGAGTTTTCGGCTGCTAATCTATATTTTCCTATAACACGGAGCGTGACTAGACCTGGCTTGCACAAATTATTGCACAAATGAGTTTTAGACATTAAAACATTTGCGGAAACATTTTTATGTGCTTAGCGAGACTTATGTTCTCTAGTCCCTTGTAAGAAGTGAGGCTTTAATAATCCACTTCTGGTGTCATGACTTGATGCTTCCCGAGAGCTCCCGACCGCTTTCCCTGAGTACGACGTTTGTCAGGTGGGGTTTCAGGGGATCTGTGAACTGTTCATTCTGAGCAATGCGTTAATATGTGTTTTGACAAATATAAAGAAGCCTACAGATATTACATTAGACCAGCTGAATCCATTTTATGGTTTCTTTTTCTTTTTTAATTCAAAAGCATCACATAGCAAATAAAACTCTTAAAAATTAAATCTAGTTACAAACTAGTTGTTTCTTATTTTTTTTTTCCAGTCCCTTTTTGCTTTCTTTTACGACCACATGAGACTTGAGAAGCCACCTAAAGCTAAGTCATTTAGTGGAGTTGGGCAGTTCCCAAGTGTCCAACAAGAAGGCCTGGTTTAGGCTGCGATGGCCACTGTCATTCCTGGTGATTTGTCAGAAGTAAGAGATACCCAGAAAGTCCCTTCAGGGAAACGTAAGCGTGGTGAAACCAAAACAAGAAAAAACTTTCCTTGCCAACTGTGTGACAAGGCCTTTAACAGTGTTGAGAAATTAAAGGTCCACTCCTACTCTCACACAGGAGAGAGGCCCTACAAGTGCATACAACAAGACTGCACGAAAGCCTTTGTTTCTAAGTACAAATTACAAAGGTATTAAACTCTATTTGTCTTTCAGATTCTATTTTCTATTATGTTGGCCATGTGAGGCCATTGTAAACGTATATATTTGTATCCACATCTTTCCGCTGATTTGCAGAGAGAAATGTTAAGTAGATTAGACGTTGGCTAGTTTTAGCATTCTGAGTCACAGACTTTTATGGGTTAGTGTTTTTGGATTTTTTTTTTTTTTAATGCAATGCTTAATGAGAGTAGAATTTCCGTTTGTACAAAAAAAGAAATTGCAAGAAAAGGGTGTGGACATTAACGTGAGTATATTCAGCCTTGCTCGTTAACGTTTGTAATCGCTAAAAACCAGTGAAAACTAAAGTGGCAACTTAGATGGCTCCAGCTCTGCAGTGTTTAGGTGTGGTAACTACCCTCGTAGCAGATGCATATTAAGTTAAAAGAGTGTCCGAGCCGAGGGAAGTTCTGGGTTAGCCTAGCAGCTTAGCTTCCGTTTGAACAGTGAGGTCGGGCGGTTTTTGTCGTGATGCTGACAGAATATGTCTGTGTTCAAGGCACATGGCCACGCACTCTCCCGAGAAAACCCACAAGTGTAATTACTGTGAGAAAATGTTTCACCGGAAGGACCACCTGAAGAATCACCTGCACACACACGACCCCAACAAAGAGACGTTCACGTGCGAAGAGTGCGGCAAGAACTACAACACCAAGCTCGGGTTCAAGCGGCACCTGGCCTTGCACGCGGCCACGAGCGGCGACCTCACCTGCAAGGTCTGCCTGCAGACGTTCGAGAGCACGGGCGTGCTGCTGGAGCACCTGAAGTCCCACGCGGGCAAGTCGTCGGGGGGCGTGAAGGAGAAGAAACACCAGTGCGAGCACTGCGACCGCCGCTTCTACACGCGCAAAGACGTGCGCAGACACATGGTGGTGCACACGGGAAGGAAGGACTTCCTCTGCCAGTACTGTGCACAGAGGTTCGGGCGCAAGGACCACCTGACGCGGCACATGAAGAAGAGTCACAACCAGGAACTCCGGAAGGTCAAGACGGAGCCCGTGGACTTCCTGGATCCCTTTACCTGCAACGTCTCCGTGCCCATCAAGGACGAGCTCCTCCCGGTGATGTCCTTGCCTTCCAGCGAACTGTTGTCGAAGCCGTTCACAAACACGCTGCAGCTGAACCTCTACAACACTCCGTTCCAGTCCATGCAGAGCTCGGGATCTGCCCACCAGATGATCACAACCCTGCCTTTGGGCATGACGTGCCCAATAGACATGGATGCTGTCCACCCCTCTCACCACCTTTCTTTCAAATACCCGTTCAGTTCTACCTCATACGCCATTTCCATCCCCGAAAAGGAGCAGCCGCTGAAGGGGGAGATCGAGAGCTACCTGATGGAACTGCAAGGCAGCGTGCCCCCCTCTTCCCAGGACTCTCAAGCATCGTCGTCTAAGCTAGCGTTGGAGCCGCAGATCGGGTCGCTGGATGACGGCACGGGGGACCTCTCCCTGTCAAAAAGCTCGATTTCTATCAGCGAGCCCCTGAACACAGCAGCGTTGGACTTTTCTCAGCTGTTTAATTTCATACCATTAAGCGGTCCCCCCTATAACCCCATATCGGTGGGGAGCCTTGGGGTGAGCTCTCCGCAGGAGGAGGCACATTCTTCTGTGGCTCAGCTCCCGCCACAAACCCAGGAACTTCCGGATCCTGCCGGCACCATAGGTCTGGGCTCTCTGCACTCACTATCAGCGGCTTTCACCAGTAGTTTAAGCACAAGCACAACGCTGCCACGTTTCCACCAAGCTTTTCAGTAGGTTCCACGATGCGGATCCGTTACAGAAGTGTGTGTGTAGCCCTGCCTTAGGTGACCATTTTTATTTTAGTGCCTACTTGCAGACAGTATACAAATTTCTGCTTCTGTATAGTACCAGTTTTCATTAAGCCAGTATAAAATAGAAACTAGCTTTTTAAATGAGCTTGGGAACCATTTGTGTTCAGTTATGTTTACCTGGGTATTTTGTCCTGACTCACTGCCAACTGTCACAATTTAAGATGATTTCTCATACAGGAAAGCCATTATTAGTAGTAAAGTCTTACCAACCCCGTGTTCCAATTACTGTTAGATCTTAAATTTTTCATTTTTTTGTCCAATAACAATGGCTCTACCTTTTGACATTTGGCTCATTAAAAAATTTTGCAAGAGAGTTAAATTTTCTAAAATGTATATGAATGACCTGAGAGTTGTAAAATTTCTACTAGCCTCTAAATGGATTAATAATCAAAAGCTTCAAATGAATTAAGAATCCAGTCTGGGGACATGACATATGTTTCTTAGATAGACCATAATTTCAGGTCAGTATATTTTGAAGACTTGCTATCGTCTGGCTCAAATGTTTGCCGTCTTTATCATGCACATGTAAGGAAAACAAAACCGAAACACAAAGCACCAGTATCTGTAGCAAAAAGAGACCCCTAGTAAGGTGACACGGCATTCCACGTTACTTAAGAGTTGGCCTTAATTTAGTACACAGGATGTTTGCCACGTTTTATACTTCTTGCTCTCTTTTCGTTCGATTCACACTAATAGTGTATGGCGTCAGAGTCTTCAGTCAGTCTCTGGGTGGATCTCTTTCGTCGTTTCCACCTTCCATGGCCAGAGGGTAGGTCAAGCACAGCCAGCAGTTCTCCTTGGATTGTCAGTGTACAGTCGGTCCAGAGTCCAGAGCCGCTGGGGAACACAGGTGTGTTTATCCCGGCAGGGGATGGGGGGGAGGGGGGCGGAGGGGAGGTGTCTCCGCTTCTAGGGTGAGAGACCCTAGGCGGGGAGACAGATGTGAGACCTGCAGCTCTGCCTGGGAACTTGTCTGGGGATCGCGTCCCCTGTCGCCTGGGTGGAAACGAGATCCCTTAGGAGTCAAGTCAAAGCACATCGCTTATGTCACTTCTTGCTGAATTTGAGGCAGTTCGTGGTCCCTAAGCACCAAAAACAGAAAACAAAACAACAGCCCTGCTCCCATGGCATCTTTCTTATTCAGTGTTAATTCATCTTTCCTTGCTATTTTTGGACGGAGACTTTAAAGTTAAATGCATTCGAAAACTATTTGAGGAATGACCACAAAGTCTTAAGCGACTAAAAATATATACAGTAAAACCCCACTTTTACACGTCCCTGGGAAATAGGAGGAACGTTGCAAATAAGTTGAATTTGTAGAGGGAGGGAGAAAAGTAAGGCAAAACAAGCACTATCTTAGTGATTGTGAAAAGAACAATCGAGAACATTGTGTTCAATGAATACAACAGTTACTATGGGCTTTCTTCATGTTAGGCAACCAGCATATGTTCTCAAAGGTCGAATTATTATTCTGTTTTGCTAATAATCAGTTGGGGCATCAACCTAAGAAACATATCTAGTAAGCACTTGTTAACACCTTATTTGGGGACCCTGTCTGTTGGGGTGGGTATGAGGAGGGAGGGTTTATAGAAGAGTATATATCTCTTTAAAAAAAGAGAGAGAAAAATATTTCTGAGCACTCATCTGCCCTACGTGGAAGCTTCTTTTCCCTTTTATAGGGCCAATTATCACTGCAGATTTCGATGTTTACCAAGAATTCCTAAAAATGAGTGCGGATTACTGAATAGAATACACTATTTAAAATATTGGGGAGTAGTATAATTTGTGGAGAAATGTAAATTGTAATAATGTAAATGGGGGTTTCACTATATATATTATATGTATGTACACACACGTCGCACTTCATAGAATCAGAGTGGCTCTTAAGGAGCTTGGGCTCCTGTTATTTTATCATGCTCCTATGTTTGTTTGTTTTTTTTTAATCCTAGGAGCAGTAGTTTTTATACGTATGTATTTAAATTTTATTATTAAAAGTTACATTTTATTAAAAAAAGTGTGTTCCAAAGGCATTAAAATTATATATGTTAATAAGGAAATACATTTTAAAATTTTTCAAACTGCTCCTAAGCTTTTGATTAGGAGAATATTTGCTCTGAAAGTAGGCGTTTAGCTCTGCTTTATTTCCGCCTCCTTTAGTTTCTATGAAACAGATTGCTTACTTAAATCACTAGTTGAATGATTAGTGTTCAATATTGCTTTAATCACCATTGAAAAAAAAAAAAGGAGAAAGAAATCTGGTGACAGAGCACAAATAAATAGAAAACCTATTTTTAAATAGAAATCACAAATACAAGTGTGGAAGCACTACTTTATTTTGTCTAAAATTTGCTTAAAGAGAAATCAGAATAACGAACTGAGACGTTGGCCTTAGTAGGCTGTATTTCACTGCTAATTAAAAAAAAATTAAAAAGGGAGTACCAGGATTTATTAAATAAAGCATTTTGGAAATGGGGAATGGTGCCATGTAGGTATATATATTTTTAGCCTAATTCTCGCCCTGCGTGGAATTCAAATACGTGGAGGCATATCTTCCAGGGCACCAGTGCTAAAACTGTGGACTCATATTTTCATATGTACACCCTTTGCCTGTTGCTGCCCCACAGACTTGAAATAACATTTCCAAGTAAGAGGGAATTCAGCTAATTTGTTTTTTAAATTGACTGTAGCGGTCACTAAACCCCTTTTGAGAGAATCTATATTAAACATGAGGCTGACTCATTTATTTTAATTGCACAATGGTCTGACAAGGCTGTAACACCGAACTGGCTCTTTTTTTTTTTTCCTAAAAAAAAAAAAAAAAAAATTGACACATTTTTATGTCAACTGGATGTGATTAAAAATAATTGTTGCCAATGCTGTTTTCATTCTCCGGTGGCCAGAATCATCATCCCTGGAATTTCTAGTAGTGCCTTTGCTTGGTTTAAAAAAAAAAAAAAAAAAAAAAAAGGGATTATCATTAAGTAAAAATATTTCAGTTTAGGATTTGGACCTCAGACAAGATATTGAACCTCATTCAGTTTGACCTTCCATGTGTTTGTACAAATTAGATCACCAGACACAGAAAGCATGAGTGTGGAAGGATCTTGACACCGTAAGCAATATTCTCCACCGATGGATGCAAATACCACCTTTATAGCTGTTGGTCACTGTTACAACGTGCATCTTAAAATCCTCTTAGCAGGTTCCATTTTCCAGAACGTTGTCCTGGCTGATGATGCACTACTCCTTGTGCAGCTTTTTCATTTCGTTTCGTGTTTCTTCCAAGCTGTGTATTTTTGCCTATTTGTTGCTTGTGCTTTTACTATTCTTAGTCACTTGTGGAATATAGTGACGTATTGTGTTAATTTGGACAGTAGCGGTTTTTAAAAACCATATACTGACTGAAACATGAGCCAGAGCTGATTGCTTTATGAAGCTAATAATGAATGTTAAAGAGTACATATTTTCAGGATCATTCATCTAGAAAGCAATACACATATATAGGCCAATATTTTTTTACAAAATAGAGCTTGGTCAACCTCTATACTACACATATTACAAGATATAGCACTTTCAAAACGAATCTAAACCTTTACAGAAACTTTCTTATAGGTTATGCCTTTTATTTTAAGACTTATTATAATTTGTTTCAAGTGCCGTTAGATGATATATATGTAGGCCTTTGATATATAATGCTTTGTGTTCAAAAATGGTAGATGGTATTTTAAACAGGTACATTTTTACAGTGTTTTCTTATCAATTTGCTATATTGCACAGAATCAGTGTGTGTCTTTTCATAAGGTTTTACAATGGTTTATTTTTTTACAAGGTTTACGTGTCTCAAAACACACTGTCTTCCCAGTATGTAAATTAAAAAAAAAAAAATACCAGTTCACCCAAGTTGCTTCTAGCCTACTGAGATCCATGTGGCGTTGGAGGAGATCTTTCAGATACTGAGTATTCTTCATTAGCAGTGGCAGACTGTTATCTCTGAGAAATGAGTGCCTACGTTGACCTTGTCTTATTTTTCTCATACTGCGTCAGCAGCTGTCTACCACACAGATAGTCTGTTGTGATCCCATAGAGCCACATAAGTTGTGTTGTGTAGTTCTGTGCTAAAAACCCATACAGAGCTCCTTTCTGATCATCTAAATCGAGATGATCCCACCCACAATGGTAAAGGCACGCTCAGCTCACCCCCCAGGCCCTTCTCCAACGTTGTCAGCCCTCTGAGGATGGAAGGCAGTGTCTTTTGATAAGTTATCTAGCTTAGAAATAACAGAACTATTGCTAATGTATAAAACACTTCATTGTATAAGCTTCAGTGGTACAGATGAACCAGAATGAATGTGTATCTCCTCAGAAGCACTCCTTCAATATTCTGTTGGATCATATGCTGCTAATGTAACTTGGGATACAACTCTTCATGGTGCTACAAACTTCTCTGTCTCATTCAGTCGTGTTTTTTTTATCCATAGGAAAAAAAGGACTACATTAGGCGTAAAGGTGTACAATATATTTTTATACTGTGACTTCATTTGTCTTTAACAAGACTTTTACACCACCCACAACAATGTATTCATGTGCACTTGCAAAAGGAAATCTCGGACGTGCAGATGTTACCAGAACAAAACCCAGCTTTGTCCACAAGGTGACTATAACTCAGAACGAAACGTGGGCTTTATGATATGGTGTGGCGTGAAGAACATGCTGTATGTTACTAACAGCCCTTTGAATTTAACAAAAACTGGGAATCCATTCGGAAATGGATTGCATCATGCCTGAACATAAGCTGGACTGCTGAGATTGTATTTTTAGCTGATGGAAAAAGTGTTTGGACTAGTACTCTAAAAATGTTCTAATGATAAAGTTTTGAGTCAAAATAGAAAAGAAAAACTCTGCATTCCAGGCTGAATTTTGTATATTTTTATTGCATTTAAAATCGCTATTCTGTGATATGGGAAATCAAATGGCTTATCATGTATATCATGTACTTAAAATGTATTCACAAACTACTGTTGTATTTGTATAAAATATAGACAAAGATCGTATTTTTTGTGTGTGTATAAGCTCTGTAAATTAGCAATCACATTATGAAGCTGCAGTGATAACTACATTTTAAACATCCACACCCAAAGAAGCAGCTATTTATTGTCCAGTTACCCAGATATAAAATATTAATTTGCTGCTAATTAAACAAGAGTGCTGCAGCTTCTTGTGGCCTACAGTGTTATGTTTGCTGTAAGAAAAAGATATGTGAACTCCACAAAATATATGAATAAAAATTATAGAATGGCTTTAGATAATGTAGATCTTCCTGAAATTTTAATAGATGATAAATTTCTATTTGATATAACATTTTTTCCCTTTGAATTTTAAATATTTTCTCATTCGATAAATGTAAGATTCTAATAGCTGCCTCTAGGACAATACTCGGTTGCTGAAATGAAACGTAAAGTTCTAGGGTTTCTTTTGTTTTATAACTTTTGTACCTTTAAAGGAAGGACAGAAACTGTAAATAAAAAAGTCAGAACATCATGCATCAAAACTTTAATCCAGGTGAGAATTCAAACAACCCCCCGAAGGCTGTAGGAATGTATAAATTGATCATGTTTCTTGTTCACCTGAGATAAAACTGGCACTCAGCATTCCTTTAGCCCTTATTGTCTGTCCGTCCTGCCTGTAAATCATCTTTGTAGAAGTTCCCTTTGGGCTACTTGTCTAAAATTTTGCTGAAAAGCCTCCCTTGACAGTTCATCTGGACCAAAATGATGAGCAACAATTTCATCTAAAATTCATCAAACAGTCACGCAGCTTCGAAAGAGAGACATTAATTCTGAAAATTCAGTTAATAATCTGGCCAGGAACCAACTGTAGAATTTTTTTGTTTGTTTTTTTGGTATCTCATAGCGCCTTTTTTAGTATGATAGGAAAAAATTCTTTCTTTACCTTTGGCTTTCCTGTCTTAAGGCTGTCTACCTTCAGAGAGGTAAAGGAAATGCACAGTGACCCCAAATTTTGCAGTTCCTCTTTTTACATACTTAATTCCAGCAAATCTAAAAGCATTACTTTGTTAATTCTTAGCATTAACACTAAATACATTTTCATTTAAATTCACACATATGAAATATTTCAAGGACTATTTATAGAAAGAAAAATGCTATCGCTTTTTATAGTTAGAATACTCTGAAAAAGGATGTTTGGGATTAATTCACTTAAGGAATATTCTCACTTATGGAAAAGTAATTAGAAATGCAGTTTGCTTACTGCACCATAGACCCAGTGGGGCTAAAAGACTTTTTCATTCATGTTTTTGTTAACTGAAAAGTTCCTACGGATGGTTCACCATTAAGGGGAGGAAAAGGTTCAGTCTGGCTATAGACGGCTTGAGTTTGCTGCCACTTTTCCTGAATTAAGCATTTCTTAAGCAAAAGGCACTGCGTGCTGAGCCCTAGGGCTATTCCAAAGAAGTCAGCTTTACAGAAAGAAGGCTGTTTCCTGATCAAACATCAGAGTGAAGAGGACAGCATCACTGCAGCCGTGGGAACGTGTAAATATTGTATTGAGTTGTACCCAGTTACCCATTTCTGTAGATCAAAAATGGTCAAATATTGGCGATTCAGCCTAAAACTAAAACAAAACAAAAGAAGACCCAGAAGGTCTTGACTGCATTCTATTCAACACAAGGTCAATAGTAAATCTGTCCATCCTGCGGAGGTTTGACTCTTGGCTAACGTGATGGTTAATGTGTCCACTCGGCTAGGCCACGGTACCCAGACTGGATGCCCGGTCTAGTCAAACACTGGTCTAGATGCGGCTGTGGAGGTACTTTTTTAGGTGTGACTTATAATCAGCTGACTTCAAATAAGACAGACTGCCCTCCATAATGTGGGTGGACCTCATCCTATCAGTTGGAGGCCTTAAGAGAAAAAAGTGAGCTCTCCAAAGCAAAAGGGAGTTCTGTCTCCAAACGGCCTTTGGGGACTCGAGCTGCAAGATCCAGCTCTCCCCTGGTCCCCAGCCTGCTGGCCTGCCCTGCAGGTGTCGGACTTGTCAGCCTCGACAGTCATGTGAGCCAATTTCTTAAAATAAATCTCTATCTCTGTGGTATACATACCCCGTTGCTTCAGTTTCTCTGAAAACACTACCACAGCTAGTTCCAATTGCCGTTCTTTAGAGGTGCCGGTTTTACCTTGGAAGAAGTGGGAACATCTTTCGCTCTGATGTGCTGTTATAGCAGAGAACATAAATTCCCAGATTCCGACTGCTTTAGAAAAGAAAGAGAAAACGAGCACAGCGCTTAATGGAGATGGTACCTATAAAGGATTTCTCAGACTCTCCTTTTCCATATGTTATTTTGGCTGCAATTATTTTTTAAATTTATTTATTGGAGTGTAGTTGATTTATGATGTTGTGTTCATTTCTGCTGTACAGCAAAGTCATTCAGTTATACATGTATATATTGGGTTAGCCAAAAAGTTCGTTCGGGTTTTTCTGTAACATCTTTCGTAAAACCCAAGCGAACTTTTTGGCCAACCCAATACGTTCTTCATATTCTTTTCCATTATGGTTTATCACAGGATACTGAATATAGTTCCCTGTGCTGTACTGTAGGACCTTGTTGTCGGTTGCCATCATTGCAGATGAAAATGGTTTTCTCCTACTGAGCAAGTTTTCTTTAAAAAAAAAAAAAATGTAAACAGGCTAATCTTGTTCTGCCCAAGAGAGGCATACTTGGCATGTAAACCAACGTTTATTCTAAATGCACAAGTGGAAACATTTGTAGATTGAATCTTTTTTTGAAAACATGGTCCATTTATAGTAATACCTTAGTCAAGGTCTTGAGATCCTGAGGGAGATGAGAGTTGGAAGTGCAATGGCTCCTCACATCAGCTGTGGAAGTTTCCTGTTTTATGGTAGTAGAATTTTTGCAAAGGTTTAACTTTTGGTTTATTCTAGCTGTAATTAGAGAACTTTAATCTTTTTCTTGGGGCCCCTTTCAAAGTGTCGTTCTTGCAAAACTGCTCTGTTTCTACAAACACATAATTGATCTGTTATTAGTATCCACACACACCTGGTGACATTTCTAAGATGGCTCCTGTAACCAGACTTTCATGCCCTAGGAATGTTCATCGTGGAAGTAGGTTAATAGCCTAAGCTATGCCCTATTTAAGATTTTAAGCTATGTCAGCTTTTCCCACCCAGAATTAGTGGTGACCATCGGCTGTAATATACACCCTTATAAGCATCTCGAAGACCATTTTGTTTACAGACTACAGGCAGCTGAGTTCACCTCATCCCTAGTTTTCTAAGTTACATTATCTCTCACAGGAGTAAAGTGCACTTACTGTTGTATTTTCTATGATAAATTCTTTCATATGCTATTTCCATAGTTATTCCTAAATTGGATGTTTACTAAAAGAGCTTCAGGTTAGTACTAGTCAGTGATTTGAAGGACCCTGAAAATTCTCTTCCATTCTTGACAGCGTCCGCTCGTTTGGTCCTCTTCCTCTTTCTGTCATTTTCATGTTAAGTCACTCGCTGTTCCTTGTGCTGACGCATCCCTCTGTCGTGTTCTCCATCCCTGGAATGCCTGCTTTCTCTGTTCCTGCCTGTGAATGCCACATGCCAAGAGCTTAGCATCCTCTAGCCCTTTCTTGATGATAGCTCTTCCATTCACAATACCTTCTTTGCTCTCACCCACTGAAAAGTATCTTATTTTCCCTATGAACGTTTATTAGATCTTCTCAGGGATGTGTCTGTCCTTTTTAATTCTTTTAAGCCCTGGAGGTGAAAGCCCTGTCCACGTGGTTCCCTGCACACGGCAGAAAATCAACACATATTTGTTGCCTGAGGGGCAATGATGGCTCTTACCTTTCTCAACCGTCTTAACAATTAGGGCACATAGTTTAAAAGAAATACTCTTTTAAAAGTTGAACCTAGAAAAAATTTTACAGGATAATTTTAATGCTTGGGTTATCTTTGTCCTATAGAAAGTCTTATTTGATATACTAAAGATTGCGTGGGGACTTCCCTGGCGGTCCAGTGGTTAAGGCTCCGCGCTTCCAATGCAGGGACCGCGGGTTCCATCCCTGGTTGGGGAACTAAAATCCCAAATGCCGCAGGGCGCGGCCAAAAAGATTGTGTGATCATACTTAAACCTTACATTTTGTTCTGCCCTCCTGCATCAAAATGAGCAAATTCTACAATACAGTACCATTTCTTCAGAAATAAACCACTCTAAATGCTTTCACTGCAATGGACCAAAATTAGAGAGCTTTTTTTTTTTTTTTTTTTTTTTTTTGTGGTACGCAGGCCTCTCACTGCCGTGGCCTCTCCCGTTGTGGAGCACAGGCTCTGGACGCGCAGGATCAGCGGCCATGGCTCACGGGCCCAGCCACTCTGCGACACGTGGGATCTTCCCGGACCGGGGCACGAACCCGTGTCCCCTGCATCGGCAGGCGGCCTCTCAACCACTGCGCCACCAGGGAAGCCCTAGAGAGCTTTTGAGGATCCCAATTCTTGTAACTTTGTACTTCAACACTTCTAACTATGGAGTCTTTAGCTCTGTTTAAACTTCCTGGAACTTGAGTGACTAGAGATAAGCATCTCTAGGTAGGGTTCTTTTTTTTTTCCCCTTAAAAATTTATTTACTTATTTATTTTTGGCTGCCTTGGGTCTTTGTTGCTGCCTGTGGGCTTTCTCTAGTTGTGGCGAGTGGGGGCTACTCTTCCTCGTGGTGTGCAGGCTTCTCATTGCGGTGGCTTCTCTTGTTGCGGAGCACGGGCTCTAGGCACACAGGCTTCAGTAGTTGTGGCACACGGGCTTAAGTAGTTGTGGCACGCGGGCTTAAGTAGTTGTGGCTCACGGGCTCTAGAGCACAGGCTCAGTAGTTGTGGCGCACGGGCGTAGTTGCTCCACAGCCTGTGGGATCTTCCCGGACCAGGGCTCGAACTGGTGTCCCCTGCATTGGCAGGCGGATTCTTAACCACTATGCCACCACGGAAGCCTGGTAGGGTTCTTAAGATTTTATTTCATCAAGTACTAGGGT